TCTAGGCCATCTGTCTTAGTTCTCTAGTGCTGCTATAACAGAAATACCAACATAAATGGATGGCTTCAACAAACAGGAAGTTATTCTCTTACAGTTTAGGAGCCTAGAAGTCCCAGTTCAAAGTGCTGGTTCTAGGTGCTGGGTGAAGGCTCCTTGCCCTTGGGCTACATACAGCTCTGCCTCCTATTCCAAACCCACTAGAGCTGGAGGCTTTTTCTGACTCATGCAGCTGCTGGCTGCTGAGGCTAATGAACCCAAGATCAACAGGTAAAATGATACAATCCCAAAATTGGAAGGCAACACAGCAGACCACTGGTTCAAGTCCAGGAATAATGCCAAGATCGGCAGGCAATGCAGCAGGCCAAGACTCGGCCAAATGCAGGACCCAGACGTGCCCAAACTAGAAACCTTTCTTAAAACTTCCCCATATATACTGGATGTAGGCCATACCCTGAAGGCAACTAATTAGCTGCTCACTGCAGATTGCAACATGGAGTTGATTTCAGTCCCATCATGGGGAATAACTGCATCAGCTGCCAAACACAAAACCACAGCTTAGCCAAGCTGACATATAACCTTAACTATTACACCATGTAAGATATAATTATTGGTCTTTTCCTGTCTGGAACAAAGGAGAGTGGAGAAAATCAAAGACTCAAGGGAGCAATGAGTCCGAAGGACTAATGGACCACAAACCACAGCCTACATGACTCGAGACCAGAAGAACTAGATGGTACCTGGCTACCACTACCTATTGCTCTGACTGGGACACAACAGAGAGTCCCAGAAAGAGTGGGAGAAAAATGTAGAAAAAATCAAATTCACAAAAAAGACCAAACTTACTGGTCTGACAGAGGCTGAAGGAACCCCTGAGACTATGGCCCTAAGACACCCTTCTGATCTGGAACTGAAGCTATGCCTGGAGACCACCTTTCAGCCAAACAATAGACAAGCCTATAAAATAAACAGTAATACTCCAGAAGAACATGTTCCTTAGAACAGTCAATTATATGAGATCAAAAGGATACCATTTGCCCAGAGCAAAGACGAGAAGGCAGGGTGGGGTAGAAAATCCAGATGAAAGAAAACGGGGAACACAGGTGGAAGAGGGCAGAGTGCTGACATATTGTGGGGAATGCAATCAATGTCATGGCACATTTTGTGTACAAATTATCAAATGGGAAAATAATTTGCTTTTAAACTTTCACTTAAACCACAATAATTTTTTTTTTTTTAATTTAGGGTTCCTGTTCCATTCTTTTTGCTAAATCATAGGTCACTGTTAAAATATAAGGGTAATGGAGAGGCATATCACATTCATGTATTGACAGAGTCAATATAGTAAGAATTTTCTCCAAATTGATCTATGGATTTAATACATTCCCAAGTAAAGTTCTAGTGGAGTTTTTCTGTGAATATAGACAAGTGGATTCTAAAATTTATATGGAAAGCAAATGAATAGAACAGCTCAAACAAATCTGAACAAGAAGAATAAAGTTGGGGGAATCATGCTACCTGATTTTAAGACTTACTAAAAAGCTGCAGGAATCAAGACAGTGTGATTTCGGCAAAAGGATAGACACATAGATCAATGGAACACAACAAAAAGTCCAGAAATAGACCCACACAGATATGGCCAATTCAATTTTGATAATGGTGCAAAAACAGTTCAATGGGGAAGAGATAGTCCTTTCAACAAATGTGTTGGAATAACTGAACATCCATACTCAGAAAGAAAAACAAAACAAAACAAAAACCTCAATACATACCTTACACCTTATAATAAATTAACTCAAAATGAATCATAGATCTTAAAATAATTATAAAACTATAAAATCTTTTGAAAAATATATAGGAGAAAATGTTTGGGATCTGGATTTAGGGAAAAGCTTCTTAGATATGCCACTAAAAAGCATAATCCATCAAAGAAAAAAAATGCTATGTTGAACTTCATTAAATTTTAAACTTTTTTTTATCTGCAAATGACACTACTAAAAAATTGTAAAGGATAAATAAACACTAGGAGAAAATGTTTGCAAATTCTATGTCTAATAAGGAACTTGTATCCAGAATTATAAAAACTAAAAATTCAACAATAAGAAAAGAAACAACCCAATTAAGAAATGGGCAGAAGACTTGAACAGATTTCTTCAAAGAGGATATATAGATGGCAAGTAAGCACATGAAAAGATGTTCAACATCATTAACCATTGTTGTTGTTGTTGTTATTTGCTATCGAGTTGGCCCCGACTCATAGCGACCCCTCCTTGGGTTTCCGAGGCAGTATCACTACGGAAGTAGATTGCTCCATCTTCCTTAGAAAAATGTAAATCAAGACCACAATGAGATATTACTACATACCTATGAGAATGGCTGAAATAAAAAATAATGACAATACTAAGTTACAGTGAGAATGCAGAGAGACTGGAACTCTCATACATTGCTGGCTGGGATGCAAAACTGATATAGCCACTGGAGAAGATAGCTTGGCAGTTTCTTAAAAATGTAAACATACATATACCATATGATCCAGCAATTCCACTCCAAGGTATTCAACCTAGAGAAGTGAAAACTTACATTCACACAAAAACCTGTACACAAATACATCATTCTATTCATAATTGCTACAAACTGAAAACAACACAAATGCCCACTGACAGGCCAATGGGTAAACCATTGGTGGTACATCAATACAATGGAATGTTAATCAGCAGTAGAAAGGAATAAATGACTGATAGTGCAACAATTTGAATGAACTCCAAAGGCATATGCTAAGTGAAATTAAAAAAAAATAGTAAGAAGAAATAAAAAAAAGTAACTGCCATTGAGTTGATTCTGACTCATAGCAGAGTTTGCAGGATTTCCAATTTTTATGGAAGCAGACTGCTTCATCTTTCTCCCATGGAGTGGCTGGTGGGTTTGAACCACCTACCTTTTGGTTAGCAGCCAAATGCCTTAACCACTGGACCACCAGAGCTCCTTTGAGTGAAAGAAGACAGTCTCAAAAGATTATATACTGCATGATTACATTTATACAATAGTCTCGAAACTACAAAACCATAGTGATGGGAAACAGAGCAGTGGTTACTAGGGATGCGGAGAAGGTGTGATTGTAAAGGAATCACATAAGGAATATTTCTTGGGAGGTTGACAGAACTATCTGTACCATGATTGTGATGGTAGTTACAAAAATCTATACATGTGTTAAAATTATTGTACACTGTGGTAGTTGTGTGTCATCTTGGCTGGGCCTGGTTTTAGGTGGTTGGGCAACCAGATGTAGTTATTCCCCATGATGAGACTGGTAATCAACTCCACTGTGTAATCTACTGGATCAGCTAAGTAGCTGCCTTAGGGATGTGGTCTGCTTCTAGTATATAAGAAGACAGCTTGGAGAAAGGTCTTAAGCTTTTGGCACTCCTGGATCCTGCATTTGACTGACTCTTCATCTCAGTGGCCTGCCATGTTGTCTGCTGATCTTGGGACTGTTAATAGATTTGAATTAGTGGCCTGTCCATGTTGCTTGGTAATTTTGGGACCGTGCCATTTTACTTGTCGACCTTGGGCTTATCAGCCTCAACAGCCAGCAGCTGTGTGAATGAAGAGACACCTCTAGCTTCAGTGGGCTGAGAGCAAGAGGCAGAGCTGAAGCCCAAGGTCTTTCTCCCGGCCCCTAGAGCTGGCATTTTGAATTTGGACTTCCAGTCTCCTAAATGGTAAGAGCATAAATCCCTGTTTATTAAAGCCACCCACTTGTGGTATTTTCTGTTAAGAGCGGCACCAGAGGACCACAACATACACCATCTCCAATTATAAGTCAATTTCACTCTATAATAACTTAAAACACGTATCTTCAAAATTTAAGGGTAACTAGCACATAAATCCTAACAGTAGGCAGGGAAGAAAAACAGGACTAAAAGAAGGAAAGTAGATAGATAAGCAACAGGTTTAAGCACACCAACTACAGAATGATGCTGTCACTGGGGAAGAAGCAAGAAGCAAGGCATGTAGAGGGAGGTGATGTTTTGTTTCATTCAGGTATCTGAAGGAAAACTACTAAATCTTGATGATCACACAAAGGTGTCTGTTACATACTTAGCTGTAGTTTGAAATTTTCTGATTAAAGAAAAGGAAATTTAACATGTTTACAAATCTTTTAAAATCCTCACACATTTCACCCTGTCATTGGACACATCACTAAGAACCAGGACTATAGTGTCACAGAAGTCTCAGGTTTGTAAGGCCTGAGTCTCTCTCTTCCTGACTGCATGTCCTTAGGAAAGTAATTGGACATCTTTGAGCACTGTGCCCTTGTCTTATTCCTTTTCTTTCTCCTTCACAGGTGTCCAGAGAGATCAAATGAGGGCTTAGGATAAGAATGCAATGTAACCTGAAGATGATGGACAAATGTGCAAATTGCAGGAACTATTATGACTATGAAGCTCTGGTGGTGTAGTGCCTAAGGCATCTGACTGCTAACCAGAAGAAGGATGGCAGTTCAAACCTACCAGCCAGTCTGCAGAAGGAAGACTGGGCAATGTATTTCTATAAAGATTTACCACCTCAGAAACCCCAAAGGAGTCACTATGAGTTGGAATCAACTCAATGGCAGTGAGTTTGGTTTTAGTTTGGTTATTATGATTAAGCATCCACAGATCTCACCATGTTCACTGACCTTCCTACTGCCAAGCCCCATTTTGGGCACTGCTCATAAGTGTTCCAGGCGTAGGGAGGTGGGATCATTCCAAGCAGTAAAGCACAGAGAATCAGAGGAGGAGGGTAGTCATACTCTCTTTAATAAGCCAAAGCTCCATCAGTATGTTATGAGCTTCAAATGAGCTTAGTGGAGAAACCAAACAATAAAAGACAAGAGAACTTTCTGGTGGGACAGGACACCATGGTCCAGAGTGGAATGTAATTGCTCCAGGAGTATCCCACTAACTTTGTGAGATGTTTGCTCATTCATTATGCCTCTGAAGCAGGGGCAGGAGGCCACTCACCAGTGCTAGCCATGGTATACTGATAAGGCTCTGAGAGGAAGTGTGGGAGGGTGAGGAAGAAGGCACCCGCAGCCAGGAGGAGGCCCCCGATGCCAATCAGCCGTGGACGGTGCACCCGGCTGCCGAAGTAGCTGACAAAGATGATAAGGATGGCATTGCTGATCTGCAGAGAGAGCAGAGAGGCCGAGTGAGAGCAGAAATCCCGTCTTCACCCAGCCACAGAGCAGACCTGACTATACCCCATCCAGGAAAACCGGACAGGCAAGAGGGTGCCCAGTGCCTGCTGGGGCCCAGGCAGAGCTGTGATGTCAGACCTGTCCAAATAGCCTCCAATATGCAATTTCCACTGGTAGCATAGTGGCTAAAAGCACTTGACTGCTAACCAGAAGGCTGGCGGTTCAAACCCACCAGCCACTCCTCGGAAGGAAGGTTGGGCAATCCTACTTCCGTAGTGATACTGCCTCGGAAACCCAAGGAGGGGTCGCTATGAGTCGGGGCCGACTCGACGGCACATAACAACAACAACAACAACAATGCAATTTCCACTGTCCCTCTGCTGTCAGCAGCTCTACCCTGCCCAAGCCTACGAGACTAGACCAAGGGAAGTACCTAGAGACTTACCTACACTTCAATCATTTTAGGACCAAATTTTTTTAGGCAAAATCCAAGAAACCTCTAACCCTGGTTGGTGACTAGGAACAGTACATATTTTCCTAATTTAACTCCTTAAAGTCTTTGGCTTGGTAATCAGAATAACAAACCAAGCAACACTCACTCTCATTAAATCATGCATAATCCCTCAATTTATAGAAGATAAAATTGGGGTTCAGAAACAAAAGACAGGCATATGAGTTGAACATTTATCTGAGGTAGATACACTCCTTGGAGAGAACAATCATGGGAGAAAGAAGGGCTGCTTATGCACAGGGAGACAGCTGAGGGGGCAGGAGTACATGGAGGGATGGACACAGAGAAGAGGTAACTATCAGGAGGAAGTGGGAGGGGAGCTGTTGCATTGTGGTAAATTGTAGTCGGTGTCGTGAGACAAAGTGCTTGTGAACTGCTATATGGACAGTGAATTTGCTCTGTAAATTTTCACCCAAATCACAATTTAAAAAAAAAAAGAGAGAGAGAAAAAATAAAAATAAAAAAAAATTTGTGCTCAGAATATTGAATAGTTTGTCCATGTCCACGAGTTTAGGAGGTGGTCAGCCCAAGACTCGAGCACAGAATGACCCAACTTTAAAGCCCTGAGTTTGAAATAGAGTGGTCTATTGCCTCTTGGAGATGTGGGTCTCTGCCCAGGTTCTCTACTAACCTGTCCCTGTTCCTCCTTGGGCCTGTTTCCACTTCTATAAAATGAGGGATGAGGACTATGTCCCTATGTTCATGCTGTTCCCTAGAAGGTTATATTCTCCTAAGTTCCACTCAGAGACAGGGAAGGGAACAGAAAGCTCAGCTTGAGGAGCAAGGTCTTAAAATGTAAAGAGGGTGCAGGGAGGCCTCTGACCATGTCATCATCCAAGGAGATGATACTCTGCCCCAGAATACAGTAAAATCTGGAGTAGAGGACCTTTGAATGGTTGCAGCCATAGCCCCTGCCCTGACCACAGTCTCCTTCCAGCTGGAAGAGCAGGTGCTTCTGTCTCAACAAATAGAACCTTGAATCTTGGTAGACGGCACTTGCCAAAGTCATCAGTGACCTTATTGATAAATCATTGGTCAATTCTCAGTTCTCTTCTTACTTGATTTTTCAGCACTATTTGACTCAGTTGATCATTTCTTCCTGAACGATTTCTTTCACTGAGTTCCAATGATGGCACCTCTCCCAGTTTTCCTCCTATCTCCCTGGATATTCCTTCCAATCTCTTTGGCTCCTCATCTCCCTGATCATTTAATCTTGGGCCCAGAGTTCAGTCCTCACACCTCTGCTCTTGTCTGTATGGTTTAATCCAGGATTATGGATTTACATGCTTTGTATGTACTTCTAAATCCCATACTGACTACATTCAAAATCTCACTCCCCATGACCTCCAAATCCAGGCCCCTCCTGCCCATCTCTTCATCTCAGTAAACCACATTTCCAACCTCTCAGTAGCTCAAGCAAAACATCTGAGTATCATCCTTGACTATTCTTTCACATCTACCTCTAATCCATTAACAAATCCCATTTGTTTGAACTTCAGTAGTTACCCAGAAGTTGACCTGGTCCAAGCCACCAGCATATCTTGTCTGAATTAATGAAACATCTTACTAACTGGCTTCCTGCTTCCACCCTTGCACAATGCAGTCTATTCTCTATTCAGCAGCCAACTCACCAAAGGTAAAAGGTAGTCCTCTCCAGAGTCTCCAGAGCCCTACACATTTTCTCCCTTCCTTTTTACCTGTCCGATCTCCTCTCTTACCTCTTCTGTTTCCCTCCTTCCACTCCAGCCACCCTGCCTTCTACTGCTTCTTCAACAATGCACCACTGAAAAGTGTCTTTGTATATGCTGCTCCTGCCTGGAGTGCTCTTCTCTTACATGTCTGTAAGGCTCTCTTCTTATTTAACTGGCTTCAGATTGCTGCTCAGATTTAACCTTCTTATTAAGACCTTCTCTGATCTCTTTACTTAACATTCAACCACCACTCCCAGTTTGGCCCTGAGCACCCTTTTCCCACCACAACTTTATTCCTTTATCTTCTGAAGTTTTATTTGTTTTGTTGTTGTCATTGAGAATACATACAGCAAAACAGACAGCAATTCAAGTTTCTACAGGTACAATTTAGTGATATTGATTACATTCTTTGAGTTGTGAAACAATTCTCACTCTCCTTTTCTGAGTTGTTCCTCCTTCATTAACATAAACCCACTTCCCCCTAATATTTATGTCTAATCTTTTGAGTCACTGCTGTTAATATGATCTCATGTAGATAATTCTTAAGAAAGCATAACCCTGAAGGCAGATGTTTTTTACTAGTTAAACTACCCTATCGTTTGGCTTTACAATGACTTCAGGGGATATTTTTTGGTTTAAGATTTAAAGATTATCTCAGGACAATAGATTCAGGGGTTCATCCAGCCTCCATGTGTCCAGAAAGTCTAAATTCATGAGAATTTGAATTCTGTTCTGCATTTTCCCTCTTTTGTTCAGGATTATCCTACAGAGTCTTTGATAAAATGTTCAGTTTTGATAACCAGGCACCATCCAGTTCTTCTGGGTCTCATGGCAAAAGAAGCAGTTGTTCATGGAGCCAATTGACCAAACATTCCACATCCTCCTCCTACTCTTGACTCTCCTTCTTCCTCTATGACTCCAGGTGAATAGAAACCAATTGTTGTGCCTTGGATGGCCACTTGCAAGCTTTAAAGACATCAGGCACTACGAGGGGAACTGGGAGGCAGAACAGAAGCATTAAACATGTTATGAGGCCTATTGAATGAACTTCACACCTTTATCAAAAATCAGCTGACCATAGAAGTGTGGGTTTATTTCTAGTCTTTCAATTCTATTCATGGTCTATGTGTCTATTTTATACCATTACCAAGCTGTCTTGATTACTGTAGTTTAGCATGTGTCAAAATCAGAAAGTATGAGTTCTCCTACTTTGATTTTCTATTTCAACATTGTTTTAACTATTCATGGCCTCTTGACATTCCATGTAAATTTGACTATTGTTTCTTCTATTTCTATAAATAAGACTGTTACAATTTTGATTGGGATTGCATTGAATCTATAGATCACTTTGGATAATACTGACATCTTAACAACATTAAGTCTTCCAATCCATGAACATGGAACATATTTCTATTTATTTAACTCTTCTTTAATTTCTTTCAGCAGTGCTTTATAGTTTTCATTATATAAGTCCTTCATGTCCCTGTTTAAATTTATTCCCAGGTATTTTATTTTCTTAGATGCTATTGTAAATGAAATTGTTTCCCTAATTTCCCTTTCAGATTTCTCATTGCTGGTGTATAGAAACTTAACTGATTTTTGTTTGTTGACCTTGTACCCTGCAACTTCACTAAATTCCTCTACTAGCTCTAGAAGTTTCCTTGCAGACTGTTTGAATTTTCTATATAGGATCATATCATCTGCAAATAGAGATAATTTTACTTCTTGTTTTCCAATCTGGATTCCTTTTATTTCTTTTTCTAGTCTTATTGCTTCAACTATGACTTCTATTGGGAGCTCTGGTAGCATAGTGCCTAAGGCACTTGACTGCTAACTAGAAGGCTGGCAGTTCAAAGCCACCAGCCACTCCTCAGAACGAAGGTTGGGCAATCTACTTCCGTAGTGATACTGCCTCGGAAACCCAAGGAGGGGACGCTATGAGTCGGGTCTGACTCAATGGCATGTAATGACAACAACATGACTTCTATTACAATAGTGAGTAGGAGTAGTGAGAGCAGAAACCCTTGTTTAGTTACCTATTTTGTGAGGAAAGCTCTCAGTCTTTCTCCATTAAGTATAATGTTGGCTGTTGGCTTTTCATATATGCTCTGAATCATATTGAAGAATTTCCCTTCTATTCCAAATCTTCTTTAGGATTTTCATTAAGAAAGGCTGTTGGATTTTATCAAATGCTTTTTCTGCATCCATAGAGGTGATCATGTGTTTCTCTTCCTTTGTTCTATTAATGTGGTGTATTGTTAGTCGCTGTTAGGTGCTGTAGAGTAGTTTCCGACTCATAGCAACCCCATGCACAACAGAAAGAAACACTATCCGATCCCGCGCCAGCTCCATGATCCCTGCTATACTTGAGCCCATCATCGCAGCCACCGTGTCAATTCATCTTGTTGAAGGCCTCCCCCTCTTTCGTCGACCCTCCACCCTACAAAGCATGACATCCTTCTCCAAGGAATGGTCCCTTCTGACAACATGACCAAAATAGGTGAGACGAAGTCTGGCCATTCTCGCTTCCAAGGAGCATTTAGGGTGCACTTCCTCCAGGACAGATCTGTTAGTTTTTTTAGCAGTCCATAGTACTTTTAGCATTCTTCGCCAGCACCACAACTCAAAAGCATCAACTCTTCTTTGGTCTTCCTTATTCATTGTCCAGCTCTCACATGCATACGAGGCAACTGCAAATATCATGGCTTGTGTCAGGTGCACTTTAGTCCTCAAGGAGACATCCTTGCTCCTCAGCACTTGAAACAGTTCCTTTGCGGTTGACCTT